AAGACTTGTCATTAAATTCACTGATTCCATCATTGGATAAATATTTATTGAATAGTCCTCCTAGGAGGCACTGCCTTAGGTGCTGGGGATACAGCAGGGAATAAAACAGACACAGTCCCTGCCCTCACGGAGCTTTCACTTTACTTGAGAAAGCAGACACTAAGCAAAGAAACAGATTAATAAATCACTACAGAATGTGATAAAGGCCATGGAGGAAATAGAGAACAGAAGGGAGTCAGTAGTAATAAAGGTGGTCAGGTAAGGCCTCTCCGACGAGGTGACATCCAAGCTAAAGAATGAGAAAGAAGCGGCCTAAGGGCAAGGAGAAAAGCGCCGCAGGGAGAGGGAGGAGGTTAAGAGCTTAAGAAAGCGCGGAGCACGGGGTTCTCAAGAAACTGACAGTGAGCCAGTCTAGCTGAAGCAGAGGGAAGCAGAGGGGAAATGGGGTTTGGCCGGAGGGTGGCCGCAGAATCATGCGGGGCCTTGCAGGCTCTGGGAAGGAGTCTGGCTTTCATCCGAGGTGCGGCGGGAAGCCGCAGAGCGTTCTAGAGGGTAGTGCACCGCGGCCGCAGAGGGCTGTCCAGAGGGCCGAGTGGGATGAATGATGTCTGCGCGGGGTTCCTCCCAAGGGCGGGATGCGCGGCGGCCGGCGCTCTCGGGCCGGCCCGCCGCACCCCTGCCCCGCCCCGCTCACCGAGCTGCACCAGCGCGTAGAGGAGGCCGGCGATCGACACCAGGAAGTAGGCGAGAAACACGTTCTTCAGCTTCAGCTTCATGGCCGCGCCGCCGCGGGCGCCAGAGCTGGCGGGATACGGCGGGAAGGAGGGGCCCCAGCCCCAGCCCGCCGGCCCGCAGGCCCCGCCCCCGAAGCGGCCCCGCCCTGCGTCCCACCCTCCTCGCGCTCCTAGACCAGCTCCCGGGAGCTGGGTCTGGCTGCGCCGCCCGGAGCCTACTTCCGGTCATCGGTGGCTCCTCGCCGACTTAATTTCCGGGCCCACAGGTAGGTTCCGGGAATCACGGGGCGGTGACGTCACATCCGCCATGTGGAACACGTGTGGCCGGCCGTCAGAAAGCCGGGTGGGAGCACGTGGGACCGACTTCCAGTCCCAGCACTTGAACATGGAATTGCATAAGGAATCCAGCCCCTGCGCCCAGATTTTCTGTGCAGATTCATTCACGGCTCAGTGATAACATCCGTTAATAGTTACACAATACTTGTTATACCAATGAATGAAATCTAGGGCCTCCCCGGTTCCCTGGGTGTCTTATATAATCCTCACTGTAATCCTTAGATGATATTGTCTCATTTTATAGATAAGAAACCAAAGTTGATAAAATTGGTGTTAATGCCATGGGGCAGTTTTCTTAAATACTCATCTCCAGAATATTGTTTCCTTTGACCCACTGGGTTTTGGGTTTTGTAATTTTTTTTTTTCCCCCAAACCTACTGTTTTTCAGCAGACTATTATGAGTCTCCATTTCAGGGAATTCAAGAATTGTTTCCTGAGCCAGGAAATTCCAGGAACACATCCTTTACCACCTCACAAGCATAAACCACCCTTAGCAGTCATTTTTCTTCAGAGACAAAGCAGGTTCTTGTGAAACAATCATGATCATAAGATGTGGTCAGTGTGGAAGATGCAGCCGCCTGGGCGGCGCAAGCCTGTAATCCCAACGGTTAGAGAGGCGGAGGCAGGAGGATTGCAAGATCAAAACCAGCCCCAGCAAAAAAGGAGGCAGTAAGCACCTCAGTGAGTCCCTGTCTCTAAATGAAATACAAAATAGAGATAGAGCTGGGGATGAAGCTCAGTGGTTGAGTGTCTCTGAGTTCAGTCCCACCCCTCCACCCCCCCAAAAAAAAGAAAGAAGCTATTCTTGTCACTAAAACAATGGGAGACTTTAGTTTCTTAAGTGATACATAAAAATTGTATAAATTTAAGGGATACCTGATGTTTCAATACATGTATACATTGTGTAATGATTGAAATCAGGATAAGCCTTTCTTCTGTGATCATTTATTCTTGGTGAAAATACTCAAAAATATTTTGATTTCTTTTTCTTCTAAAAAAGATTTGTTCAGTACATTATCTGTAGTCACCCTACTATGAAATAAAATATCAGAACTTTTTCTGCTAACTACAATAGAGTTAAGGCAACTTCCCAGCTGGGTATGGTAGCAGCCCAGGTCTGTAATCCTAGCTCCTCAGGAGGCTGAAGCAGGATGGTGGCAAGTTGGTGGACAGCCTGGGGAATTTAGCAAAACCCTGTCTCAAAATAAAAATATGAGAAGAGCTTGGGATGTAGCTCAGTGGTAGAGCACCTCTGGGTTTAATCCCCAGTACAGCAAAAAATAACACATTTTTTTAAAAAAATCGAATTTCTCTCTCTCTCTCTCCCAAACCCCAATGTTATCTACCCCCATTTTAGGGCACATGGAAATTGAACCCAGAGCCTCAGACATACTAACGAAGTGTTTTAGTATTGAGCCAATCCCCAAGCCCTTGTCTTTGAAACAGGGTCTGGCTATGTTGCACAGGGTGAATTCCTGGGCTCAAGCAAACCTACCACTTAAACCTCCATAGTAGTTGAGACTATGGGCTCTTGATCTTAACAATAGTCTGCTTTGCAGTGCTAGGGATTGAACTCACAGTTTTACACATGCTAGGCAGGTAAGTGCCATACACTGGGCTACATGTCTACTGCTCCTCCAACAATGCGAGACTTAGTAGTACTGGGGATTGAACCCAGAGGTGCTCTACCACTAAGCTGCATCCCTAGCCCTTCACTTTTTTTTTTTTTACACAAATGGAACCCAACTTTTCACTTTTCTGGTTGTACATGATGTAGTCACACCATTCATGCAAGCATACCCAAAGAGTAATAATGTCCAACTCATTCCACCATCTCCCCCCACACCACCCTATCTACTCCCTCCCCTCTGTCCAATACAAAGTTGCTCCATTCTTCCCTTGCCCTCCCCATTCCCTTACATTCCACTCCCCATTATGGATCAGCATCCACTTATCAAAGAAAACATTTGGCCTTTGATTTTGGGGGATTGGCTTACTTCACTTAGCATATTCTTCAACTCCATCCATTTACCTGAAAATGCCATAATTTCATTCTTCTTAAAGGCTGAGTAATATTCTATTGTGTATATATACATCACAGTTTCTTTATCCATTCATCTATTGAAGGGCATGTAGGTTGGTTCCACAGTTTAGCTATTATGAATGGAGCCGCCATAAACATTGAAATGGCTGTGCCACTGTAATATGCCGATTTTAAGTCCTTTGGGTATAGACAGGAGTGAGACAGCTGGGTCAATGGGTCAAATGATTCCAAAGTTTTCTAAGGAATCTCCATGTGTACCATTTTACAATCCCACCAGTGATGAATCAGTGTCTCTTTTCCCCCACATCATCACCAGCACTTATTGTTGCTTGAATCCTTGATGATTGCCATTCTGACTGGAGATGAAATCTGTCTTGATTTGCATTTCTCTTAATTGCTAGAGATGTTGAACATTTTTTTGTATATTTGTTGATTATATATCTTCTGTGAAGTTTCTGCTCATCTCCTTAGACCATTTATTGATTGAGTTATTAGTTCTTCTGATGTTAAGTTTTTGGAGTTCTTTATATACCCTGGAGATCAGTACTGCTGAGGGCCATTGCTAAGCAAGAATGATGCATGGCATGACCCAGGTCATTTGCAGTGTCATTGCATGTAAGGTGACCTTGCTCAAGGACCAGGGCGGATCCGGGTTTAGGGCAGATCAGCGGTTTAGGGCGTTCCCGGTTTAGGACAATCCGGGTTTAGGGCGGTTCCAGGTTTAAGGTGTACCCTGCTGGGAATAGGGTGTATCCTGCTGCCTCAGGCGCGCCTGCTCGTTGAGTCCCCGTTGAGTTCTGTTGGATTCAGAGTATTTGGGATTTTGCCCAGAACGTGATTTGGGCCCAGAACATGGATTTCCCCAGAACATGTTTGTAGAATGCTGGGAATAAAGAATTGCTGTTTGAATCTACAAGGCTGTGAGTAGCTCATGATTTTGTGCCCAGCCAGACTGTGGCATTGTACTCTGATGTGCATGTAGTAAAAAGATTTTCTCCCATTCTGTTGGTTCTCTCTTCACATTGTTTCCTTTGCTGCAACACTTTTTAGCTGGAATCCATCCTATTTATTAATTCTTGATTTTATTTCTTGCACTTTAGGAGTCTTTTGTTAAGGAAGTCAGGTCCTAAGCTGATATGATGAAGACTTGGGCCTGCTTTTTCTTCTATTAAGTGCAATCTCTGGTCTAATCCCTAGGCCCTTGATCTACTTTGAGTTTTGTGCAGTAGCCCTTTACTTTTTTGAGGTAAGTTCTCCCTAAATTGCTTAGGCCTTAAATTTAAGACCCTCCTGCCTCAGCCTTCCAAGGAGCTGGGATTACAGATGTTGCCCACCACTCCAGGTTGGAAAATCATATGAAAGTGCTCTTAATTAAAGAGAAAGAGCCTCTGATGTGAGAACTTCTGACCTTATAGCTATTTCCATCCATGAGACATTAGCTCTGATCACAGCATTAACCAGACCTACTAAAACCCAATGGCCTTGCTCAGCTTTGCTGTGAAAGTCATGCTATCTAGCAAGATGAAGGCAGCTCGTGCTTGCTCATTTTCCTGAAAACCAGGTGGCTTATGCTAAAATCAGACGAAAATGTCAGGCCCTTGGGCTCCTAGGGTATGTGGCTCAGGCCACAACTAGAATTCAGACATCTAGAAGTTATTTATGGTTTATTTCTTTATTGTTTCTCCTTTTATCAAAACCTGTCACAGCTGGGGACCAAGTAAAAAAAAATTCCCACAAATATTTCCCCTGGTTCCCTGTTAGTTCTGCCCCAACCCCCCTACCCAGGGCCTCCGGCCAACCTTGGGCACACAGGATCATCTCCCCCCACCCTCAGCCTTCTCCCAGCAATAAATATAGGTGACGTGATTCAATGAAATCACAACTGATTTCTCCATTTTGAATGCCCCAAAGGGACCAGAAGTGGGCAAAAGAAGTTTAATGCCCATCCTGTCTTAATTAAGGAGGCATGGAAACATTTTCCCCTCAAGGGACAGGGTAGGCTGAACTGCCCCTGCCAGAAATGCAGCAGCCCTAGAAGGAATTGGGGAGAGGAAAAGGTTGGGATGAAAGGGAAAAGGATGTTTTCCAGCAACTTCACTCCTTTGATCCATTCATTCATCCCTTATAGATAAGGGGTGGTCCCAGTGTAGAAGTGGGGCAGAGAAAGGGAAGAGCTGGCAGGGTAGAACCAGGAGGAAGAAATAAAAGGAGAGAGGGCATTTTGGTGGGGGAGAAAGGGAAGAGGAGGAGGAACCCTAAACCTAAAGTTCACTGTCCTCATCTTCTTCCAAGAAATGGCATTAACAGACAAGAGGCATGAACGGAGAAGTCTGGGGGAAATTTAGGGCCCTTTAGGAAGGGAAAGGGAAAGGGAGGCAAGGACCCTGTGGTTCCAGGTCTTTGCAAGTGAGTGTGCTCCAGGAAGAGCCACAGGATGCTGGGGGGATGAAAGGAAAGACTTGGAATCAACAGAGCAGGAGAGGTGAGGAGGTCACAAGAGGAATTCAGAGCCCAAGCACAGTCCTCTCATCCTGTCCAGATGTTAGCAGAATCTGGGTCTTGGGATAAGAATTTTGAAGTCTGGGGAGGGTCAAACTCCAAGGCAGAAGAAAGGGCAGCTCTCACCACACCACACCCTTCCCCCCTCAACCCAGAACACATCCCATTGGTTATCGCAGATGAATACTCCAGTCAGATGACACATTGACACCAGGCTTGCGCAGTATCAACACAGAGGTCTCAGGGTCATACTGGAAGGATAGATAGCTTTCAGGAGATCCTGGAGAAGGAAGAAGAAAAAGTTCCACGGTCAGCAGTGAGCTGCTTCCCTACAGACATACACCATCCCCAACCTCACCCATCTCGCCTCCACTTCCCCTCTCCCTAACTTGGGGCCAGGTCAGTCACTTACCTTTTGTCTGAAGCACCACTGTTGCCGGCTTTCCAGCCCCCATTATCACCACCCGCTCAACCCAGACTGGTGTCTCAAAGTGGCTTTTGGGATCTGCTGAGCTGGAGGTGACAAAAACAAATGCCCACCAGGGGAAAAATGTCAGAGCAGAAAAAAGGAAACCCAACCAAAGTCAGGAGATGAGAAAAGAGTACAGTGAGCGATGGGCATCCCCAAGATCCTCCCCATAACCCTAAAAGGTACCCAGCTACCTGGAGACAAGTGTGTTGTCAGAGAACGAGAAATGACGCAGCAGGAACTCATGGCGATTCTGATAGTTAAATGTGTGCCCATCATCAAGAAAGAGCTGTCCTTGGGCCGTACCCTGAGCAGGAAGTAGGCAAGGTGAGTACCTGAGTTAAGAGGGAGCAAGGGAAACATCCCCAGGGGACTAGGAAGGCAAGCTGATAGTTGAGGTCACTCTTCGTGTGCGTACTCACCTGGAGGCTGAGTGCGACAAAGAGAGTGATGGGGTCATCTTTCATACAGTCTGAAGAACGCCGCACACGCATCCATCGAGGCACAATTGTCCCTCCACGTTGGAACACAGGGATCTAGGGCAAAAGCAGTGCTGGTCTTAACTCTCCCGCATAGACCCCACAGCATCTTTTACTCTTGTTCATCTGTGCTCACAAGTACTGAACCACAAAGCACATGTTGTCATCCCTTCTGGAAACTTATAAGCAGATAGAGCTAGCAACTAAGCCGGCATACTCACACTGCTTAGAGTTACAGGCAGGTAGAGAGTCTGGGGACCATGATGCTTCTGGTAGCCATGAGTGTCATACCACACCTGTGGGTAATAGAAGAGATAAGATATTGGGTCACACAATGCACAGGGACATCCACCCTGTTTGCTTTCTTTGGCCTTCAACATCTTTCCCCACCATGTACTTCCATAACTCACCTCCCCTTGGCCAGGTAGGTAGACCTGCACACCATGGGCCCCAGCATCTGACACGGGGTGAACCAGTAAGGCATCCCCTAAAACACACCAGAATCAACATGGCACTAAGGGGATCAGTTCCCAGGCCAGAGAACACCAAAGCACCACCCTGCTAATAATAACCACACTCACTCCTCCCTCCCTGGGCCTCTGCAGACATAGGTCCACAAGTGCTTCTCAGCCACAGCCCAATCCAACACTCTTGTCTTCCCATTTCTCACCAAGCAGAAACTGATCATCTATGCTGAAGGTGGTCACATCTTGAGGATACTGCACCCACAGGGGCCTAGGAAGTAAGTGAGAAAAGAAAGGAAGACACCTGCCATTAAACAGAAGTCAACAATGTTGCCCGAATAACTGGCAATGAGAATAGCACAGGGGTAAGATCCAAGAGCTTGCAGCCAGACAGTGCATTTGGGGTTCAGGTCTCGACTATGCAATCCCACCTTGTCTGTTCATTTCAATTCCTATCCCACCTTCCCGCCTCCACTCTTCTGCCAACCATTCTGCATAGCAATTTTCCAGAGGTCTCCTGGCACATCAATGGGTTCTTCAGAATCGGATCATATTTTCCTCTATAACCTCAACTCTTACCTCTCCCTCTGGTTCCCTACCCAAGCTCACTGGCTTTTTTTTATTCCTCAAACAAAACAAACTCATTTCCACTTAAGACATATATTTTTTAAAGGCTAATTTTTTTAAACTTAACTTTATTTATTTTTTTATGCGGTGCAGAGGTCCAAACCCAGTGCCTCACACATGTGAGGCAAGTGCTTTACCACTGAGCCACAACCCCAGCCCTAGATTTTTTTTTTATACTGAGGATTAAATCCAGGAGTGCATTACCACTGAACCACATTTCCAGCCATTTTTTGAGACAGGCTGTCACTAAGCTGCTTAAAGCCTCACTAATTGCTGAGGTTGGCCTCGAACTTGCAATTCTCCTGCCTCATCTCTCAAGCCACTGGGATTACAGGCACAGGCCACCACACCACAAATGGCTATACTTTTTTTTTTTTTTTTTTTAAAACAAATGACTATACTTTAGAATTTTTTTATTTTGGTACCAGGGATCAAACTCAGGGGCACTCAACCACTTAGCCACAAACCCAGCCCTATTTTGCATTTTATTTAGAGACAAGGTCTCACTGAATTGCTTAGTGCCACGCTTTTGCTGAGGCTGGCTTTGAACTCGAGATCCTCCTGCCTCAGCCTCCTGAGCCAGTGGGATTACAGGCCTGTGCCACTGTGCCCAGCAAGACCTTGCCATTCTTGGGAATTTATTGATATTATTCATTCCCAATAATCTCCCCTTCACTCTTGATCTTGAATTTCCCACTCACTCTGGCTCCCCTCAAAGTGTACAGCTGGGAAGACACAGAAGAACCTTTACAAGGTTGTGTTGAGTGAAGAAAAAGGCCTCGAGATGCAACCTGGACCCCTGTCTCCCACCCACCTCAGTCCACTCTACCCAACTGAGTGTCTCACCTCATGACAGGAAACCCTTCACGATGGGCCTGATAGAAGAGGGTGTACCAGAAGGGCAGCAAAGAATATCGCTGGCCTAAGGCATCTCGGATTATCTCTTGGTACTGAGATGGCAACAGCCATGGCTCTCGCCGCCCAGTGTCCAAGTGGGCATGAGCCCGGAAGAATGGCTGATAGGCACCCATCTGGTACCAGCGTACAAGCAGCTCTGGTTCTGGATTCTTGAAGAATCCCCCCACATCAGCTGAGAGAGGGGAGGGAAGGAGCAGAATAGAAAAAGAAGGTAAAAGAGAGAGATGTTGTCTGAGGAGCTTCCCAAACGTTCTCCACCCTCCAGACTCTTCAGCTCTCTGCTCATGCCTAGGTCTTGTGCCCTCTATTTTGCCCCTCTGCCACCAACCAAGGCCCCAAATTCCTCCCCCTCTTACCACCACAGAAGGAAAGTCCCACCAGCCCTAGGCTGAGACACATAGGGATAGTGATCTTCAAGTGACCCCACTCTGCAGTGTTGTCCCCTGTCCACACAGCTCCTGAGGAAGACAAGAGGGAAGGAGCTTGTAACATAGAGAAGGTGCTCAGTATTCTATACGGGTGACATCTCTGACCCGCCACATCTGCTCTGGGGCCCCAGGATCCTCTGAAGATGCAGAGTTCACAGGAATACTTAAACAGGGTGGGGCTGTATCTCAGTGGTAGAGCATTTGCCTAGTATGTGTGAGGCACTGGGTTGAATCCTCAGCACCATATAGAATGCCTGCCTCACATGCACAAGGCCCTGGGTTCAATCCCCAGAACCACCAAAATGAATAAATAAATAAATAGATAAATAAAAATTCTAGTGCTCACTTTGGCAACACACATACTAAAAGTGGAACAATACAGAGATGATTAGCATGGCCCCTGCACAAGGATGACACGCAAATTTGTGAAGCATTCCATATATTTTTTTAAATATTTATTTTTTAGCTGTAGTTGGACACAATATCTTTATTTTATTTATGTATTTTTATATGGTGCTGAGGATCTAACCCAGGGCCTCACACATGCTAGGCGAGTGCTCTACCGCTGAGCCACAATCCCAGCCCAAGCATTCCATATTTTTTATGACACTTAATAAACGTGTCTTAAAAATTTTTTTTTTTTAAATGAACACTTGAACAGGAACTGAATTTCCCACTTACTCTGGCTCCCCTCAAAGTGCACAGCTGTGCAGCTCGCCAAGAACCAGGCCCAGGCCAGGGGTCCTTCACATCATTCTGCCACGGCTCTCTTCTCCAAGTTTGTTTGTTACATTATTCATTTATTTATTTGGTACCAAGGAGTGAACCCTGGGTACTTAACCCTTGAGCCACATCCCCAGCCCAGTTGCTTAGGGCCTAGCTAAGTTGCTAAGGCTGGCTCTGAACCTGTGATTCTCCTGCCTCAGATTCCTGAGCCACTGAGATTATTATAGGTATGTGCCACCACACCTGGGTCTTTCCTCCAAATCTTACCAAAGCGCTGGGAGCCAGCGAAGAAAGCCCTGCTCAGGACGAAGGGACGTTCTATGCCACCGGAGCGCTGTATTAACCCATCAGCAGTTGCCATGTGCTGGGTGGGGAGAAAAGAGAAGAGGGGAAGCAAAAAGTAAAAGCTATCTCTCATCTGTTGGCAGCTGCCTGGTCCTCAGTCTCTGGGCCTTGTCTTCCCTCTTTCCACCAACTCTCCTTTCCGCCCCTTACCACATAGAAGCCATAGATGTTATGGACGTCCCGGTGCTCCCAGCCCCCATAATGCTGGGCATCCTTGAGCATGGTAACCTCAGGACCATTGAACACAGATGGTTCATTCATGTCATTCCAGACATAGAGGTTGGGAGCTGAGCCCTGGGAATATAGGCAAAAAAGGGTGGACAAAGGAGAGAAAGAAGACAGAGTATCAGAGCAGAAAGCTCCTGGAATCTACAAAGATCTATTTTTTAGGGTTCTCCTGGGATCATCAAGGCCCCCCAATGCATTACAGGCAACTAGCAAAAGCAGAATTGGCAAGCAAAAACACCTCAGGGAGATAGGGTGGGGAAAACAAATAAGAATTGTGGCCTTTCCTACCTCATAATTGTCAAAGCTAAACATGTTAGCCCACCAGGCTCTCATCACAGGATTAGTAAAGTCAGGGTAACCAGCTGAGCCTAGAAGGTAAAGGTGGCTCTCAATCCCTCAAGGGGCAAAAAGAGCCACCTTCCTATAACCCTGGCCTCCCACATGCCTCTCCTTCAGCTCTTGGCCTGCCTACCTGGCCAGCACCAGCCCTCATAGTCAGAGCCATCCTGAGTTTTAACGTACAGCCCCTGGTTCCGCAGCTCTTCGTGAACTCGGTATCCAGAGTCTACCTTGATGTGGGGGTCCACAATGGCTACCAGCTGGGACAAGGAAGATGGTGGTCAGAGTTCTCCAGAACTAGCAAGTCTCGGCCTTACCCTGAGAAGACCAATCATGGCTGCAGTTCCCTTACCTTCCGCCTCTTGGAGGCCAAGTGCTCAAGCATGGTGAGGGGCTGAGGGAAGCGGCTGGGGTCCCAGGTGAAGTATCGCTTGCCATCAGCATGTTCAATATCCAGCCAGATGACATCACAGGGCAGGTTGTGATCATCAAAACCCTGATCCACTTCTAGCACATCAGCCTCATCCCGGTAGTTCCAGCGGCTCTGATGGTAGCCGAGGGAGAAGAGCGGGGGCAATGCCTGGGTTCCTGCGGATTCATTGAGGGGTGGGGGTCATAATGGGGATCAGGCCCCAACCTGGGGTTAAAGAGGACACTCAGAAATTGAGGAAGATATAAGCTTGTGGAAGGTTGTAGGGTGCAGGTTCAGAAATAGCCTGGGACTCAGGACTTTTGAAAAGTTACAGAATCAACCCTGTCAAGAAAACAAGGGCAGAAAAATGACAGTGGTAACATTACACACACCTGTGAGACTAGCATACTGCCGAAAAATGTCAAAGACCGAGGGTCCAAGTAGCAGGAAGACATCAATGATGCCACTCTCTGACATCCAGCGAACATCTGTCTGTGGGGTCTCCCCAGAGCCCTGCAGATAGTCTAGCATCTTCCCAAACAGGGTCTACAGCAACACCAGACAAAAGCAACAATTTTTCTCTGGAGTCATAGAGCTGGCCCCTAATATCTCACCTTGGTATGAGATTAAATGTCACTTCCTCAAGGAGGCTTTCCTGGCGCAGATATCTAAAGCAAGCCTGCCCCCGCCCCCCCGCACACATTAAGTATTAGCACTTAACCACCCCTGAACTCATCTTGCCTTGTTAGTAGTTGAAATGTCTTTCTCCCTGAGAGTAAGGACATTTTTTTTTTAAGAGAGAGAGAGAGAGAGAATTTTTAATATTTATTATTTTTTTAATTTTCGGTGGACACAACATCTTTGTTTGTATGTGGTGTTGAGGATCGAACCCGGGCCACACGCATGCCAGGCGAGCGCGCTACCGCTTGAGCCACATCCCCAGCCTGAGTAAGGACATTTTCAAGCTTGGTAAGAACATGTCCCCAGCACCTAGAAGAGTGCCTAACACATAATGAACTAATAACAAGTGGAAACCCTTAGTCCAGAGACAGCCATGACTTTGCCATAAATGTGTCATCTGGAAATGACCAGGGAACTCAAGAAGCTTCCCAGAAGGCCCAGGCACCTTCTTTCAGCCAGTCCCCACCAGCCTCTCCATACTCATGCTCCCCAAATCCTGTTTTAAGGTTCATCAGACTCCCTCCCTCCTCCTCTCTTCCCTGCCTGCATTCTTACCTTCCCTGCAGTGTTAGAGGATATATCAACCCAGGTCTCAGCAGCATTTAGCCAGAAGATGCCCAAATCTCGATGAGGGTTGTGCGCAAGGAGCACAGGTACAGACCCATACAGGGCCATTGGGTTATCCAGTTCATACTGGAACACATCCAAGTTGTACAGGCGATACGGTTCCCCACCCCTGGTGGTAGACACACAGACCAGGCTAACAACTGGCTGCAGGCCACAGCACACACAACCCCCACCCCACAGACACAGGTGAGAGATGAAAACAGGCTCCTCTGGCCTTTCCCAAAAGAATAATTTTCTAAATATCAAAGGTGGCCCAGACACAGGATAAAATCCATGTTTGGAATATTCACCTGCATGCACATTTCCCAAAGCCCTGGCTTCCTTCCTTCTCCCACATTTTTTTTTTTTTTCTTTGCAGTACTGGGGATTGAACCCAAGGACACTTTATCCCTAGGCTATATCACTAGTCCCCACCCCCATTTTATTTTTTCATTTTTATTGGGGGCAGGGTAACTGGGGATTTAACCCAGAAGCAATTTATAACTGAGCTACATCCCCCAGCCATTCCTTTATTTTTTATTTTGAGATTAGGTCTTAACCATATTGCTTACGGCTTCACTAAATTGCTGAGGCTGGCCTTGAACTTGCAATCCTCCTGCCTCAGACTCCTAAACTGCTAGAATTACAGGTATATACCACTGTGCCTAATATCCCAGTTTTTATTTTTTATTTTGAGACAGGGTCTCACTAAGTTGCCCAGGCTGGCCTCAAATTTGCCATCCTTCTGCCTAAGCCTCCGAACTAGCTGGGGTTACAGGTGTGCACCAACATGCCTGGCTCCTCCCACACGCAGACATCAGCATGGGACTCACTCAGTGACCTTCAGCCTCAAGTTGTCTGCATGCTCAGGGATTCCATACACATGCTCCATGCCTGGCAGAGAGAAGTCCAAGCCCACAGAAGTGGGGCCTGAAAGAAAAGAAAGGCTGAACTCTATAGCTTTTGCTTGGCAAGGACTCCCTGCACCCCTGCCCAGGTCTCTCCCAGCCCCTCACCATATGGCTTGCTGTCAGAATGAGTTTTGAATGTCTCCTCCCAGGCTCCTGGCTCATCTTTCTCTGCCTTCCCTTGAGTATCCTCTGGCTGTAAGAAGGAAAATGGACCACTACCCATTCATACATCGGCTCTTTCTTACCCAACTTGTTTTCTAGATCCCATCCATGATGGTGAGACTAAACTCAAGTTTCTTGTGGGCCTTCCCCCTCCAGCCTCCCAGCCAGCCCTATCATCCAACCACGCACCCACTCCGACTTGCCTCGTCACCATCCCCAGGCGTTTCCTTGGGCTGGGCCCCATCGCCCTCAGCGGGGTCTTTTGATCCTTGCCTGGAAGGTAGGAGAGCTGTCTGCTCCAATCCAGAGGGGGCAGGGACGAGGGGCTAGTGGAAGGAGGGGTAGGGGAATAGAGAGCCAAGGGTCCAAAGGAATGAATTGGAGGAAGGGACTGAATGTAAAGCTTGGAGAGGGACCCCAGTGAGCAAGTAAGTTTTCGAAGGATGGAGAAAGAACCAAGAAAGGGAAATGAATAAATGCTACCAAGAGGTGTCTTCCACACATGGGCCCAAATCACCAGCCTCTGCCAGCATCCCAGAAGAGACAGGCAGGGTGACTTAGGAGCCTGTATTCTGAATGTTAGTCCCAGCTCTGCTGCCTCTACAGATGCCCTCAATGCAGCTTAGGCTCCTGGCCTGACACAGGGTTTTGCAAAGAAAAGTGGGTCAGACCATAGCAAGCCTCTCCAAATACTTAGAGGGACTTCCAGAGGTTTTTACCAAACAATGTTCTCAAGGGCATCTAGAAAGCAGCTCTGCACAAAATCTCAGCTACATCTCAAATAAAAGTCAGGAATCCTAGGCAGCATTCCTCCACCCCTTGGCAAAGCAATAAGCTCCCTACATTCCTTAAGAACTTCCAGTACTTCTTTCTCCGGGGCGGGGGGTGGGGGGGCAGTCGGGGAATAGGGAACAGGGGCCCAAATACCACATCATGGGGAAATGGGGTTAGGTGAAGGGCAGGGCATGGAAAAGTTTGGGGGCATCTTCCCCAAAGGGTCAGAGTGAAGGGTGGGAAAGGGCAGAGGAACAGATACAGTACCAGTGGCCATGGATTTACCTAGAGAAAAGGTTCTTGATCTTATCCCATATGCTACCGAGCGTGAGACTAACTTTATCCGAGAAACTGGGGCAGGAGGAGATGAGTAGGGAAAGGGAAAAGGAGGCACAAAACCAACACAAAAACAGAAACATAAAAGTGAGTTTCAGTCGACAAACTTTCAGAGATGGGGGGAAAAAAGAAATCAAAATAAATAAATAAGTAAATAAAAAGGAAGAAAATAAACTTGGGAAATGTGATGATGTGAGAAGGGGAAGAGGGAGAGGCAGACCCAGGCAGGCCTCCCAGAGGAGGTGCCCAAGGTTCAGCTCAGGGACAAAAGTGACTGGCTCCTGGTCTATACAGGAAATGGAGAAAACTACAACCCAGGTCTGATTCCTACACTTCTTGATAAGTTCTCCCAGCCCCCAGCCCCTATCTGGCTATCCTGCCATCCAGTCTCCTCCCAGGAACCCAGTGCCAGATCCCACAAAAATCCCTAGGCTCTTTCACAGTAGGTGATTCCCTGCAGTCCCAACCCCTGCACTCACGGGACCCTGCGGGCCCTCTGGTGCTCAAACTCCATGAGTCCTCGGGCATTGACACTGAGCAGAAGGCTACGGTCCTCTAGCAGGTCAAGGCGGAACGGCCGTGCTGTTAAGATGATTTTGTAGGGTCCCTCAGCCACTGTCAGCTCCACACTATTGTCATCACGGCCAGATACAGAAAGCCTGGGAAAGAGATCAAAGGGGATATAAGCAAATACAAAGGGGCAAGAGAAGTCCTAACACTTCAAGAAAGGATCTGCTAAAAGCTATAGGCAGTGGGATAATAATGCCGGGACAGACAAACAGATTTAAAGAACCAAATAAAGAGCCAGGAAACAGACTCAAGTATTCTTAAAACTCTGAAATGTAACAAGGAGGCAATGGCAGATCAGTAAGGAAAGGAGAAGAAAAAAATTAATTTTCCATATAGAAAAACAAAAACAAAAAAACACTTGTACCACTGTGACCAGCTTAACACATTCTTACCTTGTTCCAGATACAAATATAAACTTCAGAAAGATTATGGATTGAAAACAATTTTTTTTTTTTTTTTTTTTTTTTGGTATTGGAGATTGAACCCAAGCCCTAGCATATGCTAGGCAAGGACTCTACCACTGAGTATCCTAAGTCCCATCACTTAAAATTTAATAAGCTTTAGAAAATATAAACAAAAATTTTTTTGACCTTGAGATAGACAGGAATTTCTTTTTCTTTCTTTCTTTCTTTATTTTTTAAAGAGAGAGAGAGAGAAATTTTTTTTCAAATATTCATTTTTTAGTTTTTGGAGGACACAACATCTTTGTTTGTATGTGGTGCTGAGGATCGAACCCGGGCCGCACACATGCCAGGCGAGCGCGCTACCGCTTGAGCCACATCCCCAGCCCATCTTTCTTTTATTTATTTTTTTGAGACAGAGTCTTATTATGATGCCCAGGCTGACCTTGAACACCTGGGTTCAAGTAATCCTCCTGCCTCTGTCTGCTGAGTAGCTGGGATTACAGGTGCATAATCCCATGCCGGGTTGAGATATTAAAACACAAGGCATAATGTGCTAAGACCAGAAGGTAAAAAGACTGAAACATCTTAAGAACATTAACATTAGGAATTTCTACTTATTAATCCACCTAAAGCCAGGTATGGTGGCACACACTTGTAATCCCAGTGGCTGAGGCAGGAGGATCTCAAAGTCAACACCAGCCTCAACAACTTAGTAAGGCCCTAAGTAACTAAGTGAGACCTGTCTCAAAATAAAAAAATAAAAAGGGCTGGATATGCAACTCAGTGGTTAAGTGCTCCTGGGTTCAATCCCCGTCAATAAATAAATAAATACATATGTATATAAATAGGGAGGGATGTGGCACAGTGGTTCAGAACCCCTGGGTTCAATCCCTGGAACCCTGATATCAAAGCAAACAAACAAACAAAAACAACCCACTTAAACAAGTGGAGTTGGTGGTACACACCTGTATTCCCAGCTCCCTGGGAGTCTGAGGCAAAATGATCTCAAATTCAAGGCCAGACTGAATAACTTAGCAAGACCCTCAAAATAAAGCCAAAAAGGGATAGGCATGTAGCTCAGTGGCAAAACATTTGATCAGCGGGTTTAAGGTTCTGGACTCATTCCCCAGTACGGCAAACAAAACAAACAACACCTTTTAGAGTTATCAAGAACAAGGAAAGTTTGAGAAGTTATCTCAGTCCAGAGCAGCCTAAGGAGATATGACAACTAAATGTCACATAGAATCAATGGAAAAGGACACTAGGTAGAAACTAAGAAAATCTACATACAATATAGATTTTGTATATATTGCATATACAGGGACAGACCAATAATGCATCTTTGGGCTGGGGCTGTGGCTCAAAGGTAGAGCACTCGCCTACCATGCGTGAGGCACTGGGTTCCATCCTTAGCACCAAATAAAAATAAAATAAAGACATTGTGTTCATCTATAACTACAAAATAAATACTTAAAAAAATGCATCACTGGGCTGGGGATGTGGCTCAAGCAGTAGCGCACTCGCCTGGCATGCATGCGGCCCGGGTTCGATCCTCAGCACCACATACAAACAAAGATGTTGTGTCTGCCGATAACTAAAGTTATGTGAAAAAAGGGAATCTCAGAGAAGCATCATCACAAAACCTCTAAGATGTTTTTCTATAACACTCAAAATCACATAATTTACTGCTCGGGCATATGTATGTATGTATGTATGTATGTATACATGTAATATAAGAACAAAAACAAGGGAATAATAAACTTCAGAATAACCATCAACTTTCGGGAAGAGAGTTAACAGTATAGGATGGTTAAGAATCTGATTAGGTTGGGTGGAGAGTTTATACAGTTTACGAGGTGAACAGTTTATTATAGTATTTTCTTTTACTTTTTAATTTTTTTTTGTAGTTATAGATGAACAGAATGTCTTTATTTCTTTAATGTGGTGCTACGAATCAAGTGCCTCACACAAGCTAGGCAAGCGCTTTGCCACTGAGCTACAGCCCTAGCCCATATTACAGTATTTTCTAAATGAAGTACTCAAAACAATCATATATGGAACAATGATAACAGTGCATTTTGACTCAAGAAATTGAGTAATACTATTCTGAATAGCTGAGGAAAACAAGAAAAAGGAAGGAAGAAAGGGGGAGAAAATGGAGGAGGAAGGAGGGACAGACCAATGAACGAACCAGAGAAATAGCACATTACTAGAGTAAGGTCTGTGCTTTGTTTATTTCTTCTTGTGACACCACACCTAGCCCAGGCCATCCACAGAAGAGGGAGCAATACCTTTTGCTGAATGAATGAAGACAAAGAATAAAAGAGGGGGCTGGGGATGTGGCTCAAGCGGTAGCGCGCTCGCCTGGCATGCGTGCAGCCCGGGTTCGATCCTCAGCACCATATACAAAGATGTTGTGTCCACCAAAAACTAAAAAATAAAATATTAAAAAATTCTCTCTCTCTCTCTTTCTAAAAAAAAAAAAAAAGAAAGAAAGAAAAAGAATAAAAGAGAGCAGGGGGAGGTGGCACATGCCTGTAATCCCAGCTACTCAGAAGGCTGAGCCAGAAGGACCACAAGTTTGAAGCCAGCCTCCAAAATAAGTGAGATCCTGTCTCAAAAAAATAAAATAATAAGGGTTGGGGTTGTAGCTCAGCGGTAGAGCCCTTGCCTAGCAAGTACAAGGTCCTGGGTTCGATCCTCAACACCACATAAAAACGAATAAATAAAATAAAGGTATTGTGTCCAACTACAATTAAAAAATAAATATTTTTTAAAAGTAAAAAATAAAATTATATAAAATTGAATGGGCTAGGAATGTAGCTCAGTGGTAGAGTGCCCTGGGTTCAATTCCCAGTACTGAAAGACAAAAAAAAAAGAGTGAAAACAAATAAGTAAAACAAGGCATACGAACAAATATGTTAGGTTAGGAATGTACTAAGTGATAGAGTACTTCCGTAGCATACACAAAGTCCTAGGTTTCATCCCCAGTACTACCAATAAACAACAAAAGAGGCTGATGTTTCTCAGGAAAAACTTACCGGGCCGTGGGAGGATCAGCCACCAAAACATCTGGAACACGGTAACGGAGCCGACGGGGCTCCAGCTCATCAATCCTGATCCGAGTCATGTTCTTTTGAAGCCCTTGGAGCTCCAGCACCAGCAATACCTAAGGGGAAAGAGGTTTGGATGTGGAGAAGGGGGAGGGGTTATATCATACAAAGTCCTGTAGACCCAGGCCCTCCTAGGAGCCCTTTGCCTGAGGGGCCTGAGATCAGATTTCTTTTTTTTCTTTTTTTTAATTTTTAATATTTATTTATTTATTTATCTTTTAGTTTTCGGCAGACACAACATCCTTGTTTGTATGTGGTGCTGAGGATCGAACCAGGAGCCGCACGCACGCCAGGCGAGCGCGCTACAGCTTGAGCCACATCCCCAGCCCGAGATCAGATTTCTTCACCAAGTAAAAGTCCCAAGATTTGGCCAACACAGGAAGTTGGCTCCAAGTTTCTCCCTCCCCAATTACCCCATAGCCATTTCCCCACAAATCTTCCTTGTGTTGCCTGACCTTAGTGACCTCGTTGATCAGATGGACTGTAAGGTCATCAGGACCAAGCTGCAGAGTTTCTAGCAAGGCACGGTAAGGAGAGAGGCCTGGCCGTATACTTCGTTGCCGCCTGCCAAATGCAATGGTTGAGAAGTAAGGTGGGAGGGCACCCCAATGTTCTAGGCACCTTTATCACCTACAGTGCCCTTAGGCTACCCATCTGCCATAGACACTTCTCACATCACACTACTTGCACAATCACACACTACTACTCAATCCACCCTCCCAGAAATGACATACTTGCAGAAGGAACTCTCTTCACAAGTCTTAAAGTTGCTTCTATCCACAGCAAAGGTAATCCCCAGGCAGACTCCTAAACATGCAAGTGCCAAACTTGCCCAAGACCTAGGGAGAAAAAGGATAAAGAGGGCACAATCAACCTGAGAGTCAGGAAAGGCCCCACCTTCCTGTCACAGCTTTAGAAAGACAGCTTTGGAAGTGGGAAGAAGGATAGAATAATATTAAATAGGAAAGAAGTCAGAGTGAATACAGGGTAAAGGGTCAGGCCTGGGGAGATGACACACCAAAACCTTGTCTTCAAAAGCTAGAGGACGAGCTAAGGATGCAGTTCAGTGGTACAATGCTTCCCTACCATGCACAATCCCCTGTACCACAAATAAAATAAATAAAGGCAGAGAAAGTGAGCAGAGAGCATCTTTGGCCTTGAGAAGCCCTGTTATTGCCTCTGGTTACATCAGACTCTCCTGGAAAGAAACAGTAATAGCCAGTCCCAGAGGAAATAGTGGTAAGGAGTGTGAATTAGAGAAGCAAAGCAAGCTACACCTTTCTATTTTTTAGTACTGAGGATTGAATCCAGGGGTGCTCAACCTCTGAGCCACATCCCTGGCCCATTTATTTATTTATTTATTTTTAAATATTTTGTTTAGAGACAAGAGTCTCACTGAGTTGCTTAGTGTCTTACTAAATTGCTAAGGCTTGCTCTGAACTCATGGTCCTCAGGCCTCAGCCTGGGATTATAGGTGTGCACCACCGTGCCTGGCCAAGCTATGCCTTTCATGAGGAAGGCATCAGGTGAACCTATAAAATAAAAAAATGAAAAATGAGGCCTATGGATGTGGCTCAGTGGTAACGCACTTGCCTAGCAAGTTCAATCCCTAGGGCCCCCCTTACACACACACACACACACACACACACACGGGGAAGATAAAGTAAAACAGTAAAAAAACAGAAGAAAAAAGGTTTAAAGGTATCTTCTTAGCTAGACTACTGGTCACAATTCCTAGGGTCCTAACTTCTCTAGCACCCTAGGCATCCTGTTCCTCTAATCTCTATTTTTGCATCTTTAAAATATGTAATCCAAGCCACTCAGGAGCCTAAGGCAGGAGGATTCCAAGTTCAAGACCACCCTCAGCAACTTAGGGAGGATCTTGGGGATTTAGTGAGACTCTGTCTCCAAATAAAAAATAAAAAGGTCTGTGGAAGTACCTCAGTGGTAAAGCATCTCTGGGTTCAATCCCCAGTACCCCAAAAAACAAGTCACCACTATCACTACCTAAGGCTTAAAAGAAGGTAAAACAGTATCAAGTCCTAATGTACTCTCCGGGACTAGTTACTTTGTATCCAAGCTTTCAATTGGCCTATAGTTTTTAAAGTATCAAAGTCCTAGACTCATCCTCAGAGATTATTATATATTTTGCTTGGAGTGGGGCCTGAGCCATCAATTTGTCTATTTTCCAAATTTCATACAGGACCTAAGTTTTATGACCCTTGCCTCCCTCTCCAACTTCATCTTTCTTTTCAGTTTCCCCTTTTATCACTTTGCTCTGAGCTACACTAGAGTTCTGACACTTCTGAGAACATAGCAAGCTCCTTTTCTGCACAAGGCACAGGGATTAGAAGAAAAATATAATGGGAAGGAAAAAATTATGAAGTATGGATGTACCCTCCTTTGCTCTCATCACTAAATCTGAATACAGTTCAATTTTTTTTTATTTTTTGTTACTGAGGATGAACCCAGGAATGCTCACTGAGCTACATCCTCAGCTCTTATTTAGACAGGCTCTCACTCAGTTGGTTAAGGCCTCACTAAGTCACTGAAGCTGGCCTCAAACTTGCAATCCTCCTACCTCAGCCTCCCCAGGCACCAGCAGCACAAGCATAAGATACTACATCTGGGCTTCAGGTTTTGTTTTGTTTTGTTTTTGATACTGGGGATTCAACCCAGGGGCACTTGACCACTGAGCCACATCCCCAGCCCTATTTTGTATTTTATTTAGAGACAGGGTCTCACTGAGTTGATTAGCGTCTCGCTTTTGCTGAAGCTGGTTTTGAACTCACGATCTTCCTATCTCAGCCTCCCCAACCCCTAGGATTACTAGCCTGTGCCACCACGCCCAGCTGGGCATCAGTTTTTTAAAAGGTCCCTGACTGAAGTGATGGCATGCTCCTACAGTCCCCAGCTACTAGACTGAACCCAGTTCTGCCTGACTCTGGGGCCTATGTACTTCAACACAGTGCACACTACAACACATTAATCACAGGTAGGATGAATTGTCTCAAGGAAGTCCTGTCTCAATGAGGACTATCACCTCAAGGTTCTCAATATGCTTAAATGAAAGACACAGGACTAGCAGATTTGTTTAAATTATTTGAAGGATATATTCATCTATTCAGAGAAAACACTAAAATTTGAGAATTTCTCAAATTTTAGAGTTAAGAAACATACGCAGTGCTTTTTTTTTTTTTTTTTAACTTTTTTTAGTTGTAGATGGACACAATGCCTTTATTTTATTTATTCTTATGTGGTGCTGAGGATTGAACCCAGTGCCTCACAATGTGCTAGGAAAGTGTTCTACCACTGAGCCACAACCCCAGCCCATATCTGCAGTGCTTACTAAATGAAGATTATCAATCTTTGGATTTGCTTTTTTATTTTTTTATTTTTTGTGGTCCTGGGGATCAAACTCAAGGCTTTGTACATGCCAGGCAAGCACTCTAACACATCCCCAAACTTTAATATGTGTGTTTTAAACATGTTCTCCCCACCGCAGTCCTGAGAATTGAACCCACTGAACTACCTACTCAGTCCTTTTTATTTTGAGACAGGGACTCACACTAAGTTGCCTAAGCTGGCCTCAAACTTGTGATCCTTCTGCCTCAGCCTCCTGAGTATTAAAGATGCTCTCCGGGTGACTCTGATGTGAGCAGTCCAAAGCACACTCTCTGGGAAGTGTTCCAAAGAGGGCAGGGTGAGACAGAAGGACACAGGTTTCTTCTAAGCAATATAACTCTGCAATTTATAACAACATAACTAAAGGCAGGGCCTACTATACACATTGTGGGTAGCATTAATCTCAGTATCTGCTTGGAAGCTAAAGGCAAAGAAAATTACCAGAGGACTAGAGATGTAGATCAGTGATAGAGCACTTGCCAAGCATGTGAGAGGCCCTGAGTTCGGACCCCAGCACCACAAAGTTAAAAAAGAAGAAAATTACCAGAATGGAGACCACAGGACACAGTAAGCTCTCTAGTGTCAGAATTTGCAAGGCAAGCACTCTACACCAGGTCTGTCAAAAAACTGAGGAAAGTGCTAGGCACTGGGTGAATAGGCCAAGTAGAAATAATTACAAGTAAAACAAGCAGAAGAAATGTTACCAGAAAACTCAACAGCAAGACTGCATGCAGCCCAAGTCCTAAGGGGTGACTACCTAAAGGCACATAAGTAGCCCAAAGCAGCAGTCATCAGTTCAGCAAACTACATACTCTGTTGGAGCCAAACTAGAGCCCTATTTCCAGTCTATATGATCGATTTGGAGAGATGCCACAGGGAGGTTTCTAAAGGACCTCTCAACTATGACCTGTTGAAAGGTCCTAAGGATTCAGGGATGCCTTGGACATCTCAAACAAGAGGTGTTCACAAGCCAAAGTTAAGAATGAGCTGCAGGGCAATTTACACCTGCTGTTTCAAATCACAGGCTTCTGAAGTTTATGATCCACCTTTTCTTCACTACTGCAGGCGGGCAGTACTATACAGCCTCTTCAACCTCACTACATCCGTTAGGTTCCGGTAAACACTTTGTGGAGCTGATGTGTTTAGAACTTTTTTTCTTCTTCTTCTTGATATTATAAACTCGAAAGAGCAGACCAAACTATTCGATTACATGTTGTGTTTGAGCAACATCGTCCAAACAGATTATGAACTTACTGGATCCTGCCCCAGCCATACCCAGCAATCGTGGGCAAGAATTAGCCAGGGCTGGTGCCCACGTGAAGACAGAAAACGGCAGGGCTGGGAGTAGGAGGGACAAAAAGGATAATACAGGATGTACTGCTGGCCACGGTGCTTCCTGCCCGGCCAAGAGGTAGGACAACAGGCTGCTTTCCCTGAAGCCCGACTGTGCCTCCTCCCCCCATGCTACCTCCCCCGACGGCCCTGCGCACTGCAGGAAAGAGGCAGCGGCGCTGACCGTGGCGAACCGCCAGGGCAGAACTTCGACTGCGAGCGGCCAAGGCCAAACAGAGCACATAGCTGCGACCTTTTTGAGCCGCCGGGCGAGAGCTGAGAGCCCCAAAAGCAAGGGCTGCCAACGACGCGAGGAACTACCGCGGAGAAGCAGAAGGAGCCTGAGGCCGCCTCCAGAAGGATAAAGGGCTGTCGCAAGGCCAGGGATGGTAGAGAGACAAACAGAAAAGAACAATAACGGGCTTGGGTATCTAGGAGCGTCTGGACGTGCCCCCGGGTTCCCGGCTCCTCACCGCCTCCTACGCGCCGCCACTGCCGCTACCGCCGCCATCTTGTGCCGGGTTTGCTCTTTGACCCCGAATTTCCCCACCCCCTGCGCACGTTGAGACACGTATCATAGTACCCACCCCTTCCGGCTTTCTGATTGGCCCGGCAGGAACGTAGGCAACTCCTGTTTCATTGGCAGAGATACACGCTAAATGCCCTAGGGGGCGGGGCTAGAGGACAGGGACGGGGACACCCGTAGTTAGTTACAGTCCGACTTTGCCCGCTCTCATAATCAGACAGAAGCACTGGACTGTTTGTCTCAACTCTCCAAATTTTATTTAGAAAAAAATGATACGATAGGAAAAAAGTAACAGCGCTCATTAGGCCAAGGACTTAGAAACCTCCACCTTTCTGTAGCACCTTAGGCTTTTCTCCCATTGCTTAATTTCACGCGGCTTCTGATGCAGGAAAAGGGTTATGTCCCCTGCCGAAGTAAAGTAGATGGTGAAGGTGCCTGGAAACGGCCAGAGAAAAGGCCCAGGCGATCGATGTTGCGATGCAGGACACTGTGCAGCACAGACAGATGCGGTCCTCCTTCACCCCCACCCTCTCTGGAGAAGTCCCGGATGAAGCGGCCTCGCTCAGACTGGAAGATGAACTTCTGGGGCAAAGGCCCATGCTCCCGGAGAAAGCCCCAGACACTAAGCAGCAGCAAACGTACTTCAAAAGGTGCCAATTGTCTAAATACTTCGTGCATATTACCCAGGGCTGGTGGCAAAAGGCATCCTTCAGCCATGACAGCCACCAAGGTGCAGGATGCCTCCAGATGCCAGGGGGAGTGGGCTGTATCAGGGTGCCTAGAGGCTTCCCAGTGGCCCAAGAGGGCAGCCAGCAGTCCCCGTAGCAGCACGGAACAGTAGCACAGGGCTGGAGGTGCAGCTGCTACCAGCTTTAACAGCTCAAAGAGCAGGGGCTGTTCCCGAAAGCGCCGGCCAATGCGGAGATCCCGCTCCACAGTGGCCCGGGCATGATCCTCAGGAGGCCAGGCCAGCTCAGCACCAGCTGCATCAGGACAAACACTTTCCACCAAGGTCACTGCAACTGCTTTGGCTGCCTCTGGGCTCAGGGTGGGAGCCCCCCAACAACCCCCATATTCAGTGCCCCCAGGGGCACTGCAGCAGTGTACCAGGAGACTGAGGAGGCTCTGGGTGTTATAGATCACCTCCTGCTGGTTTCGCGATTGGACAAACTTGGGTGGCTTTAAGCCACGGCCAATGACTCCAGCATGGAAAACTGACCAGATCCCTCCAGGACCTGGCACAGCTGCAGTGTGCCGACGGTTAGTGTCCAACAAGGAGGCAGAAGCCAAAGGAGCTGATGTAACTGACAGAGTCTCATTGTCTCCATCTATTTCTCCTCCAAACAGTTCTGTATTGCCCCGATGTAAGGCTCCCTCAACTAGCAGCTGCAAGACAGCCTTGAGTCCAGCTGGGGAGGTCTGAGACAGGCGGGTGAGAAGCTGAGAGGCTGATGCCACACCTGGAGGGCCATGCAGCCTCAAAGAGGCAAAGAAGCGGTGCACCCCAGCCCTCACCAGTCCTAGGAGTTGGGAGGGGGACAGGGCTTCCAGAGGAAAGGGACAAATAGCCAGAAGGGAGGCAGCAGCTTCAGCTACTTCCTCCTCAGGATGTAGCAGGAGAGGAGCCAGGTCAGACAGATGGGCTGAGGCAGACTCCCCAAACCGAGCCCCTAGGGCTGCAGGGCCCTCGCCACCCTGCTGTTCCCACCCCACTAGCAGTGCCAAGTTGCGCAGAAACCGGGCTGTGAAGGGAGGTTGTAAAATCCCTGCATGTACCCGAGCCAGGCAGCTTCGGAAAGCCAGGGGCAGAAGGCCAGAGAGACTGACCACCAGTCCTGCATATAACTGGGTGGCCAAACTCAACTCTTCAGGGCTTCGGGCTCGGCTCAGTAAATGACCCAAGGCTTCAGGTCCACAGCTAGGCCGGGTATAGACAGACAGCAGACCTAGGAGCTGGTGCTGCCAGAGGAAGCGCTTCCGTTCCAGACGTAATGTCTCTCCACACAGCTCTCCAACATGGTTTCTCAGAGCATCTAGAAAGGGCACTGGACGGGGGGGTGGGGGTGGGCCCAGCACCCCTTCCCCAGGAGACCCTCCTCGATGATGAACCAGTTTTTGTAGGTGCAGTAGCAGGAGTTGGATCAACCGGTCACAGGCCTCACGTACAGTGTCTGGCACAGCCAGGCCCTGGGTGGTAATGACTGAAGCAGGCATAGCTGTGTCTACCAGGAACTGCAGCAAACGGTAGGCACCTGCCCCAGAGGCCTGGCTCACCAGATGCACAGCCAGGTTCAGCATGTTGTCCAGCTCCTCTCGGGGGAACCCCTGCAGGTGTTGCTGCAGCTGGCTCAGCACAGTTGGGGGCTTGAGGCAATCCACGAGCTCTCCTGAGACTGTACCCAGCAAAGCTGGTGACATGACTGCCAGCTGCAGAAGGAAGGGAACTGTGGCCTGAAGAGAGGGGTCCCCACTCCGGCCCCCAGCACCCCCTGCCAGGCTATCATGAAACATTCGCAGAAGCTCCCGTCGGATGCTGTCTCCATGGCGGGAGGCCAGGTGCCCTAGGATGCCTACAACAGAGGCAATCTTGGGTACCCGTTTCTCCCCAGGAATGGCAGGAGATCCAGGGAAGGTGTCCGTAGAGGGGGTTTGAGAAGTGTTTCCACCACTACCACCAGTTCCACCTCCAGCCCCACCATGGACACAGAAGTCCTTAAGGCCACAGGAGAGGACTCGGGAGATGATGGTGCCAGGAAAAGAGGAGCCAATATGTGCTACAACCCAGTCAAAGTGTGGGGAATGCTGGACAGACGTATCCAGCAAAGCATCCACGCATGCATCTGGGCAGCTACCAATGAGAGCAGAGAGGCACTGCACATAGATGTCCATTAATGTACGGGTGGCCCTACACCCCATCCACAGCTGCAGCAGTTCATTGAGAGAGCCAGTGGCATGGGGCACACGCTGATGTTGGCCTGAATATGTGCTGCTCAGTTGTCCCATGAGGTCAATGGACCATGCACTAATCACAGGTGCCCAGGCCTTTGGGTTGGCCCGAATAAACTCAGACAGCACCTGCTGTACTTCCTGCACCACATCCTCTAGACCAGGTCCCCCAGCAGGGACATGGGAGGATGAAGATGGACGAAGGTGAGATGGACCAGACACAGGGCTTTCATCTAGAGCAGCCAGATGGGCCCTGACACTCTCATCAAAAACACCTCTTAAGTGGTCAAGCACAGCAGCACGAGCAGGTGGCAAAGACCGGAGCAAAAGAAGACCACAGCGAGCATGTTCCCGGGCTGAGAGTTGGTGGCCCAGAATGGGATCTACGCCAGTCAGAAAAGCCTTGATTTCCTGGGACAGCTCCTGAGCACTATAAGGAAGCAAAAGGAATGTTGAGTTATGTTAGACAAGTTTTATTTCCACTGTGAACTTCAGTTTCTTTCTATGTAAAATAAAGATAATAACTATACCTAAGTTTTTAGAATTTTTTTTTGTCAATGAACCTTTATTTTATTTATTTATATGTGGTGCTAAGAATTGAACCCAGTGCCTCACAAATGCTAGGCAAGGGCTGGGGATGTGACTCAAGCGGTAGTGCGCTTGCCTGGCATGCGTGCGGCCCGGGTTCGATCCTCAGCACCACATACAAAGATGCTGTGTCCGCCAAAAACTAAAAAATAAATACTAAAATTCTCTCTCTCTCTCTCCCTCTCTTTAAAAAAAACAAAACAAAAAACAAATGCTAGGCAAGCACTCTATAACCACTGAGTTACAACCGCACCCCACTAAGTTTTTAAAGCATTTATGTACCATACCTGGCTCATACTAATAACTCAATAAATGCTTTTTCCCTCATGACAATAATAACTCCCCGCCCCCCCCCCCCAAGTACTGGGGAATTAGCCCAGGGTTGCTCAACCACTGAGCTATACTCCTCAGCCCTTTTTATTTTGAGATAGGGTTTCAATAAGTTGCTGAGGCTGGCTGCTCCCAGCCTCAATAATTCTTAAAATGGCCATATGCTTTTTTTTTTTTTTTTCATGCGGGGAATGAACCCAGGGCCTTGCACATGCTAAGGCCACTGAACTACTTTATAGCCAGGTAAGGGGCTCTTTTTAAGTACTTGGCATGTGTTATTTCAGTCCTGACAACAGTTCAATAAGGTAGGACTATTATGGTCTCATTTTGCAGGTAAGAAAATCAAGGTCAAGCAATCAGACTATGTTACAAAAGGACAGATACCATTTCTGTGCTCTTCAGCACTGAATCCCCTTCCATTAAGGTGCCTGATGTATAGGAAGTACTCAGTAAATATTTGTTGAATTAATTAAGCATATTTTGTGCTTCTATAATATCGGCTTTAAAAGTACCTTTCCAAGATAGGTGTGGTGGTGCAGACCGGTAAACAAAGCAACTTGCGAGGCTAAAGCAGGAGGATCGCCAGTTTAAGATCAGACAGGAGGATCACCAGTTTAAGACCAGGCTCAACAACTTAGTGAGACCCTCAGGAATTTAGTGAGAACATATCGCAAACAATTTTTTAAAAGCTGGGCATGGTGGCACACCCCTGTAATCCCACCAGCCAAAGAGGCTGAGGCAGGAGAATCCCAAGTTCAAAGGCAGCCTCAAAAACTTAAAAAGAGGTGCTAAGCAATGTGAAGAGGCCCTAATCAACTTAGTGAGACCCTGTCTCTAAATAAAATATTAAAAAAAAAAAAAAAAAAACAGTCTGGGGATGTGGCTCAGTAGGTAAGCGCCCCTGGGTTCAATCGTTGGTTAAATAAATAAATAAATAGGATTGGGGGTATAGCTCGGTGGTAGAGCACTCCTGTATTCAATCCCCATTTAAAAAAAAAAAAAATCTTCCTGACTTTAAAGCACCTCTCCCAACTCAAGCACTCTGATATTTGACTTTTAATGAAAAAAAAAAAATGTAAGCCCCTTATTAAGGGTTCACCCTCCCAAATACCTGTTTCTTCCCACATGCGCAAGATTCCTAACCAAATCAACCATCAAATCAACAATCACCAA